CGGACGCTTGGCGTCACCAGTTCCCTGAGGCCACTGTCGAGGTCACTGGTGACTCTGGTGCTGCTGCGGGAGCTGAGCCTGGGGGTGCTGAGCCTGGGGGTGCGGAGTCTGGGGGTGCTGAGCCTGGGGGTGCTGGGCCTGGGGGTGCTGAGCCTGGGGGTACTGAGTCTGGGGGTGCTGAGCCTGGGGGTGCTGAGTCTGGGGGTGCTGAGCCTGGGGGTGCTGAGGCTGGGGGTGCTCCGCCTGGAGGTGCTTTGCCTGAGGGTGCTGCGCCTGGAGGTTCTTCGCCTGGAGGTTCTCCGCCTGGAGGTGCTTCGTCTCGCCGAGAGCCACTCTCCCCACAGGAGCTACGTGAGTGGTTTGCCCGGCACTGGAGGCGTGCTGCTGGTGCTGGAGGTTCTTCGGCTGCAGAGGGTGCTGCTGCCGCGCGTCCCGGAGGTGCTCGTGCTGTGGGTGCTGGAGCTGCTGGGCCTGAGGGTTCTCCTGGAGCTGGTGCTGCTGAGGGTGTTGGTGCTGAGACTACTGTTGGCGGTCCGACTGGCAGTGCTCCTGGTGCTGTTGGAGGTGCTGCTGGAGCGGGTACTCCTGCTGGGGGTACTGGTGCTGTCCCTGCTGTTTCGGGCGTCGCCACGCGGCCCCGACCGTACTTCGTTCCGCTCCTGCAGCAGGTTCTTGGTCTTACACCTTCTCCTGGTCCTCCTCCGCCTCCCTTAGAGGGTCCACAGCCTGTCCAGTCCCAGTCACAGCTACAGCCTGCCTCCTCTTTGCCTGCTCCTTCTCCCTACGCTGGTCCGACTGGAGGTCTTACTGAGCGTCGTGAGCCTGCGTCTCGTCCTGCGTCGCCTGTTCGTCCTGCATGCACTAGTGGTCGCAGTTCGCGTCAGCGTCCTCCTCCTGTCCCTGGCACGCACCGGATATCTCTGCGTCCGTCCACTGCTCCTCTGCGTGCCCCTTTGCCTTCTCCTCCAGAGTCCTCTCTTCCTGCTCTTGCCGACCCGGAGTCGGACTCTCTTCGTGCTGCCAGTCCCACTGTCACGCGTCTCCTTGCTACTGCTGTCACTGACCCTTCCTTCGAGTCTTCTGCTGCGTCTGCCCTTGTCACTGAGCTTGTCGACTTTGCTGCGCGCTGTCGTCTAGACTACGCTGCTAGTCTTGTCGCTGAGTCTGAGTCTGCCTGTCCTCCGTCCGTCGGGGGTGAGTGTGCCCTAGGCACGGACGTCCTTGAGGACAGGCAGGAGGAGTTCCAGTGTCTGGCCGCCGCTTCACCTCATCTCGCGTCTGTTCTGCTCGCCCCTGAGGGAGACCCGGATGCACTAGACATCCCGACTCCGCGCTCTTACGCGGAGGCGATAGAGGGTCCCTACTCCTCTCAGTGGCAGGCAGCTATGGATGCAGAGATGGCTTCCTGGAAGTCCACAGGCACCTACGTTGACGCTGTTCCCCCTCCTGGGGCGAACATCGTCAGTGGCATGTGGATCTTCAGGGTGAAGCGGCCGCCGGGTTCTCCGCCTGTCTTCAAGGCGCGTTACGTGGCTCGTGGCTTCAGTCAGCGGCAGGGAGTTGACTACTTTCAGACCTTCTCCCCCACCCCGAAGATGACCACTCTTCGGGTACTGCTGCACGTTGCTGCTCACCGTGACTACGAGTTGCACTCTCTCGACTTCAGCACTGCTTTCTTGCAGGGCAGCCTGCACGAGGAGATCTGGCTGCGTCGCCCACCTGGCTTCACTGGGTCTTTCCCTCCTGGTACCCAGTGGAGTCTCCGGCGTCCAGTCTACGGTCTCCGCCAGGCGCCACGTGAGTGGCACGACACACTGAGGACTACGCTTGCGGCACTTGGGTTTGCTCCTTCTACTGCCGACCCGTCGCTGTTTCTGCGCACCGACACCTCTCTGCCGCCGTTCTATATCCTCGTGTACGTCGACGACTTGGTCTTTGCCACAGCTGACACTGCTGGACTCGCCTACGTGAAGTCCGAGCTGCAGAAGAGACACACGTGCACTGACCTGGGTGAACTGCGCAGCTACCTTGGCTTGCAGATTACCCGGGACAGAGCACGCCGCACCATTACCCTGACTCAGTCACACATGGTGCAGCAGGTCCTTCAGCGCTTCGGCTTCACGTACTCCTCGCCTCAGGCCACTCCTCTGCCTACTCGCCACTCGCTCTCAGCTCTGCCTTCGGATGAGTCCGTAGAGTCGAGTGGCCCGTATGCAGAGCTTGTTGGCTGCCTCATGTACCTGATGACCTGCACTCGACCTGACCTTGCATACCCTCTTAGCATTCTCGCACGCTATGTTGCTCCTGGGAGACACCGACCAGAGCACATGGCTGCAGCGAAGAAGGTGTTGCGCTACTTGTGCAGTACGTCGGGCATGGGGCTAGTGCTTGGAGGGCGCAGTCCAGTGGTCCTCACTGGGCACGCGGACGCTTCTTGGGCTGACGACCAGGCTACGCAGCGGTCGTCACAGGGTTACACCTTCGGCCTTGGTTCCGACTCTGTTTCGTGGCGGGCTACTCGCTCGTCTTCTGTTCTCGGCTCCAGTTGTGAGGCTGAGATCTACGCCGGGGCTATGGCTGCTCAGGAGCTTCGCTGGCTCACCTACCTGCTGACCGACCTTGGAGAGCCGCCTCGTTCTCCTCCAGTCCTGTACGTAGACAACAAGGCCATGCTGGCCTTGTGTCGAGAGCAGCGACTGGAGCACAGGACAAAGCACATTGCTCTCCGCTACTTTCTTGCTCGTGAGCTACAGCAGCGTGGACAGTTGCTACTTGCGTACGTGGCCTCTGAGGCCAACACTGCTGATGTCTTCACCAAGGCACTTGCGCCTTGTGATCATCAGCGTTGTTGCACGCAGCTGGGTCTTGTGCTTGTCTTGCCTCACTTACTCACTTCTTGACCTTGCTTGTACCTTTACCTATATATACTCTTGCTCTTGCTTACCTGACTCTTGTATATCTCTATATATGATCTTGCATGTGAACTGGCCTTGTGGCCTTTGAACTTGTGCTCGGAATGTGTGGTGACTTTGTGATCCACCCTGAGCTTTGCTTTGCTTTGCTTGACTGGTCTTGTGACCCCTTGTTCTCCCCCACTTTGCCTATGGGGGTGTGTCAGAACATATAGCTTACTTATTTGTGTAGGCTATAGTGGGGTATCCCATAGGGGGTACAACCCAATTAGGGTTTCCTATTTGTACTCACTTCGTTCATAGTCATTCCATTCTCGTTCACTTCTTCTCACAGGCAGCGCGCTAGTAAGGCAGGGGCTCACCAGTGGTGGGAAGAGCAGGCTCGACGACTCGGCGACTCGGCGGTGCGGGCGGCTCGGGCGGCTCAGCGGCACGGCGGCACTGCAGTAACTGCGGCTCGGCGGCTCGGGCGACTCGGGCGGCTCGGCGGCTCGGGCGACTCGGGCGGCTCGGCGGCTCGGCGGCTCGGGCGGCTCAGCGGTACGGCGGCTCGGCAGCAACTGCAGCTCGGCGGCTCAGCGACCCGGCGGCTCGGGCGGCTGAGGTGGCACTGCGGCTCGGGCGGCTCGGGTGGCTCGGGTGGCTCGGCACCAGCTCGGCGGCGCCGGCGGCTCGGTGGTGACGGCAGGGCCGCTTGGGGACGGCGGCGGGGCCGGGTGGAGCGGCGACGGGGCCAGTAGAGGCGGCGCCGGGGCCGCAGGGTAGGCGACCGGGCCAGCAGAGGCGGCGCCGGGGCCGGGAAGGGCGGCGCCGGGGCCGGGGAGGTATGCGACGGGGCCGGGAAGGGCGGCGTCGGGGCCGGGAAGGGCGACGTCGGGACCAGCAGAGGTGGCGCCGGGGCCGGGAAGGGCAGCGCCGGGGCCGCAGGGGTAGGCGACGGGGCCAGCAGAGGCGGGGCCGGGTCGGGAAGAGCGGCGTCAGGGTCGCCGGGGTAGGCGACGGGGCCAGTCGAGGTGGCGCCGGGGCCAGGAAGGGCCGAGCCGGGGCCGCAGGGGCAGGCGACGGGGCCAGCAGAGGCGGGGCCGGGTCGGGAAGGGCGGCGTCGGGGTCGCCGGGGTAGGCGACGGGGCCACCCGAGTTGGCGCCGGGGCCGGGAAGGGCGGAGCCGGGGCCGGGAAGGGCGGCGCTGAGGCCGCAGGGGTAGGTGACGGGGCCACTAGGGCGGCGGATCGGGGCCGCGAGGGCGGCGCGACGCGGCCGCTAGGGCAGCGCGACGGGGTAGCGGGGCCGCGCGCCTCAGGGCGCGCGCCAGAAAGAAAATCGCCGCGATAGGTCGCACACCACGGGGCGTGCAACAGATCGAGTAGCAGCGGAAGCAGTAGTAGGGCCCTAGGAACAGTTCCCACGAGGGAACCTGCTCGATACCATGAGAAGACTGAAACGAGAATGAATTAACTATGAACGAACTGAGTACAAGTACTAACCCTAATTGGGTTGTACCCCTTATGGGCTACCCCACTATAGCCTACACAATAAGCACAAGCTATATGTTCTGACAGTGCAACCCTCTTCTTTCTTCTAAACTTTCACACGAACATCGCCCACCAGCTTGCTGTGGTCACCTCTCACATAACTTGACGACCAAGTAGTATTCCTAATCTACTAGGGTAGGCACGTAATTAGGAAACGCGCGGCAGGGCGGTAAAAGATTGTCTAGGTAGAAGCTTTTTTTCAGTCCAGCTCTCGTCACTCCCGCTGTCAAGCCAATAGCTGAGCAACACCCGCTTCTTGCCAAACACGCTATTACCCTACTATTTTCGCATGCCGGACACGGGACGCCCGTTCTAGCGCACCACAGGAGGGGAAAGGCTGTTGGTTACCTCCATGACAACCCCCGCAACGCATTGGCCAGCATAGCATGGCCCGCCCAACAAACTCTTTGCTTCGATCCGCCTTCAGGCCACATCCTCGCCTCGTCTAGACACCCACACTTAGTATGTGGCGAATGCATCACCTCATCGTCCGCGCTTCCCTCGCGATTCGCGCAACCCCACGTTACGAGCGCTGCTACACTCGCGCATGCCCTCG